GAAGTACGAACCAGGATGAAGTATAGCTCCATAATCGATTAGCTAAACAATAAAATTAGAGATTAGTGTAGTGTAGTGTAGTGTAGTGTAGTGTAGTGTAGTGTAGTGTAGTGTAAGTGTAATGTAGTGTAGCGTAGGGTAGTGTTGTGTAGTATAGAGTAGTGTAGTGTAGTATGGTTTAATGTAAATAAATGCAGTCTTTTCCTACCTTATCTTTAAGAATGATTTCATATGTTGATAGTAATGCGTTAATTTTTAACTTCTTGTTTTTATGATAAAACTCATGTTCACGGATCTGAAATAAAACAAAAATATTTCAACATTATTTCAATATCATTTCTTTTACACTTAGAAGAAAATTAAAAAAACACTTTTCTTTGCAAAGTCATCTTATCCATGGGAAGAGGAATTTAAAGCTAGTTCATGAATTACATGTATTGCAATAAAGTTATTTATAGTAACCTTAGTTCTGCTAGTGACATCTCCAAGATAAACTACAACGTTTAGCTGAGAACCCCATAAAGCAAACTCTCTCTGCCAGGCGGCCATCGTAGAAAGAGGAACCACAATAAGAAAAGGTCCATACAAAGTATGAGAATGAAATAAATAGGACAGGAAAGAAATAACTTGGATAGTCTTGCCGAGACCCATCTCGTCTGCTAGGATGGTAGAATTCCCTTTGCACCAAGAATTCACAAGCCAATTCAGTCCATCTAATTGATAATCTCGAAGTATTAATTTGTCGTTCGAGCCGATATAGGATGGCTGCTTTTTGATGAGGGTAAATTTGGGCCGTTGTCGAAGAACCTTTGCACTTTTGGTAGGTATTTTGTCGGAACGTTCTCTGTTAAGGTAATCATCTATTTTGTCTTGGAAGTATCTTGATACTAGAGAGCCATCTTCCCAGGTACTTTCGCCATATGGCATACCAGCCCATTTACACAGATAATCTACTTGATTTACTGTGTTACCAAGCTCATCAGTGTTACTGACTGTTGTGTGTGCTGGAAGAAAAGAAACAAATGAATATATATATAATTCAGCTACACTAGAAAATTTGATAAAGATATCACCAGAGACTAAAGATCATTAATCAGATAAGAAAGAGATAAGCAGTAGTAATTGTGTATTCTTAGGATGAGGACAAAATCAGAGCTATAGGTCTTTAACTTCATTGATTCAGGTTTTTTGGGGCTTTAAATGAGACAGATTAAGATTTCTGTTTTTCTTCACTCAAATAACAAACATGTTTTTATCATTTCCCTGTACTTCATTTTACCTTTTGAAAATCTTCTCACACACAAATGCTCTTTTGTTTATTTACTACTGGGAGATTTTTTGCAATACTTTTGCATGAGTGCAAAAAGCAAAAAATTCTAAATTTGCAGCTGAAGACCTGAACAGTTTGGAATACTCTTGAATCAAGGTATAGACCTAACAAACTCTGCTCACATGTGATACCAAGTCCAGGAATGGAGCCCAAGACCCCAAGGTGAGAGGTAAGTACAAAACCACTACACCCCCCTTTGATTCAAGCTTGATAATCCCTTCACTTTTACCCACCTATAATTCTTTCCACTTGATGGTATTCCTCTATCAGGTCACTGTTCATCAGCTGCTGAACCTCAAAGTATTCTATATCCTCAGGACTTGCAATCTTTTTCCTGTGTGAATGTAAATTATGTTTCTTAAAATACAGACTACATTCTCAATTCATTATATGCAAGTCCTCTTTTATGTCTCAGGATTGGTTGAGTTCAGACCACATTGAAGCCAATTGGAATCTGTTTTCACTGATATGTGCTGAACATTGAGAAAAAAATAATATAAGGTTTACTGACAGTTGTCTACCGTCAAAAATCACCAAATAAACCGTGAAGAGTATATCTCAGTAATTACAAGAAAATGGTGCTCTATTAATTTTTTTGATTAAACATTTCTAAAAGACATTTCCACAAAACAATAACCTTATTTACTTACCAAGCCCTTATATCTTTTTCCCTTTTCATGAAATTGTCAAGCTTTTTCATCCCTTTGACATTTTGGTCAATCAAACTCTTCTTACTTTCCCAAGTGCTGTGTAAATGGGACCAACCCTTCCACTTAATCAAGAACTGTTCTTCAGTTTCTTCTTTTTTAGGGTCAGGAGGACCTTTTTTCTGGAGTTCTTCATATTGAGGTGAGTATACTGTGGTTATAGCACCAATCTCACCAGGACGTCCTTGTCTTGAGTCTAGTATTCTTTCTATCATTTCTCTATCGTCTTCTACATAGTCTTCCTGCCAGTCTCCGTTATTGCCTTCCACAACATCTTCTGAGTCTGTTTCATCTTCACTTTCTTCTTTGTAACTATAGAATAAGATAAAATATACTTCATGAGTAAATAAATGATTTCATCATTGGAATAAAGAATAGTTTTAAACATTTGGATGAGTGGATGGAAGATGTGCATACTGCTATTTCAAAAGGTTGATGAAGGTTTAGTTGCATGTTGAATGTTGTTTATAAAGCTTGAAATGAATTAAAAAATTTTATTGCTCATATGTAAATAATGTCAGCACAGAAGAAAAATACTGGAAAGTTATGCAGACAAAGTTTGGCAAAATTCCATATTCTTATGAACTTTTGCTGAATGGATTTACATCACCCATTAGTGCATTTTGGGCTTGATATGCAACAAAACCTTCAGTTATCTTATTTGAAATAGCTGTATATTGGTTTGGCCTTGCTGAAAAATTGAAGTAATTAAGGAATACTGGTATATGAAAGAATGCAGAAATTAAAGGAAAAGAGGTAAGAGGGAAAGAATTATGAAGAAAGTAAATAGGGAAGGGATAGAGGATGAAAGGAAGGAGAAAAAGAAGCATAGGAGCTAGATCGAGGGAGGGATAAATAAATGGGACCAATGCAGGAAAGGGAGAAAGAATTAAAGAAAAGTAACAATATTATTTAGGGAAGATAATAAAAAGAAAAAATTACTACCTGGTGATGTTGAGTGCTGCTTTTCTGAGCGAGCTACATCTTGACACATCATCATCAGAATCAGAAGCTTCACTGTCAGGTGCTGGTTCTTTGATCTTATTTCTTTTGGGGAGTTGTGCTTTGAATCTCTGTTGTGAGTATGTGTTTGCCTGGATTGGAGCGGCCCTTGCTCTAGCCCTTGGCTTTGGGCGTGGTCTGGATACCTCTGGTGTATAGCTATCAGTGCTGTCGCTTCCTGAACTGTTGTCATTTCCTTCTGTAGGCCACTCTTCACTTTAAAATAAGCATACATCTCTTGAGAATAAGATTGTATTGAGTTGTATCCATATTCATTTGTCTTCCTGTGCAACCTTATTAAAACAATGAAATAATGTACCCTAGGAAATGACACGTTGTGAAATAGGGACACGTTGTGAAATAGGGAAACATTGCATCAAGACAAAAAGGGTAGATCAGGGGCGTACACTGTATGTATGTAGTCTTACCTGGATGAAAGTCGGTTACTTCTTTTGGTATTTGACTTTTTCTTTTTCCTTACTGGTCCATTTGTCTCCTCATCATTGGATTCCTAAAAAATATTAAAATTTTAATTATTTTCTAATCAACAATTTTTTTACTTTGTCTATAATTTTATATAGTTTACTGTTAAAATAATGATCACTGGAAACATAGGTTGGGGTTCAATTGAGATCAGCTTTCTTAGGTGTCCCTCACTGCCCTTTCCTTGGTCCACTTATTTTCATTAATTTTTGTCCCAAACAAATGATCCCAACATCAGAACTAGCATTAGCTAATATTTTTTGCTAACATTTTAACCCAACATTGTTGCAGACCATGACAAATAGACATATAAATATATTTGTCTTAGAGTATTATTCTATAATGAATAATACCTCAAGCATTACATTAAATCTCTCTGGTTCTTTTCGTTGTCTTCCCGATCTTCGTATTCCATAGATTTCAGGGTCTTCTTCCCAGAACTGCAACGATATCCATAAACCAATAAAAATCTAGATCTATTGACATATTCATAACTCCCCTATTTAGAGGGGAATGGAAATTCTTAATCATGAAGAGCACCAGAAGAGGGTTTTTTTTTGTTCAATAAATTAACTAAAAAATAACCTCAATACCCTGACTTTGATTGGCCTTAAGATTGTCTCAGGGAGAAAAGGAGATCATGATTGCACGTTCATATTTTGAACGAGCTTAACCAGCTCCTGGACAATACATGATTAAATAATTGATTGATGATTTATAAGGGGCATATATATCAGGTGCTGGGAGACCTTTACAGAAATTCCTTAGGGAATTATAAAATGTCTAATGACAATCCCCATCAGGTTATTAGTTGTACTCATGAAGTCATCAGTCACTTACTCTAGTTTTCTTGGTTCCATTAATGCTTGTAGGTCCATTAGGGCTGGGATCAGGTGAGTTCAGATCATCTTGATCTTGTGGACTAAGATCATCTTCACTTGGCTTGATTGGATGGATATCACGAATGTGTAGTACTGGTGGACGAGAAACTGCAGCAGAGCTATCATCTTCTTCATCCTCTTCCTCCTCCTCGTCTTCAGAGTCTGATTCTGATCCGCTGCTACTGTCTGACTCGTCGGACTCAGATTCTTCCTCATTTCTGATAAAATTAATGACTTAAATTACACCTAGTAGTAATATATTCAACCAGTACATAATAATTGATATCAAACACAAGTTACGTGGTCATAATCTCTAAAGAAAGTATATTATAAAAGGTTGTCAGAAGGTAAGGAAATATAGGTTATTCTATGATCCTAAAATATCTGAAATGACTAGTATTCTTCTTCTTCTTGTCTCATTCTCAGAGATTTAGTAGTGTTGAAATATTCAAATATTCAGTGTTGCTTGTAGTCAAGAAACCCATTTTAGAAACCTGGATTATTGGTGTTTAGATGTATGCCCATTATTCCTTTTGGTCTAGCAATCACCTACGTCCTTTGGCTCCAACAACCTTTTTCAAAATAGGTGCATACAAGACACAAAATTAAGTTTGAAGGTCACGAGTGAGGGTTAAATTTTAGATCTTTTATATCCACAATATTTTTGTTATTTTTGAATAAATTATTTCAAATAATTGGGAAACTTATGGTATAATCAGTGACTGACAAGTAAGTTATTAAATTGGCTCAGAGGAAAAACTCCAAGAAATGACATGAAAATTATATGAAATCTGTACATATTGTGTGTTATGCAGCATTTGATAATGGCATAAAAAATTCTCACATGCTGATTGTCTGAGAGCTATTATCAATAAAGAGCACATAAACAGAGAATGAAGAATTGCTCATGCACGCAGCAAACTGTTTTTCTTTAAAGCTTTTTCCTTGTTTGTAGATGTATTTTTTAATTTTATTATATTGCTGCACTCAAGATTCCACTTGAGTTTTGAACATTTTAAGACATCATCTATGATCAATAAGAGGACAGTCAATGCCAATCTAGGAGAATAGACAATGATAAATTGCTCAACAAAATTTCTTGGGATAACAGGATAATTTGTCTTGTCTGGCTTAATTTGCACTGATACAATTGGCAAGGGCTAGAACAAAACTTAAAATGGATCCTATGAAAAGAATCAATCTTTCTAGCATATGCTTGAGAAATGTATATTCATGTATTAGAACTACACTAAACTGTCCAGGTTCTCCGACACACAGTAGCAACAAATTGGGGAAAAATACTTTGCTTCGAAAGTTAGTGTTAGGATTCTTGTTTATTCATTTATCATGCACAAATTGAAGAAAACAATTCAAGACTTTTAAAATTTACAAAAAATCTTTATTCACAAATAAAATAGAAGATAAAAAATAGCATTACCATTCCAAATATCAAACCATAAATTAAAAATTTCCGTCGAAAATTAGAAAAAAAAATTGATAAAGAAATATATTTCCTTAAAGCAAAAACAATTCTCAAAAATCGAAAAACATTTCATAATATTTAAAATATTAAAATTTGTACGAAAAAAAAAAGAAAAAAAGAAACGAGAAATAACCCTTTTAAGTGTCAAATAAACAAGACTGCGATCTTGAATCAGCTGTGAAACATTGAAATGAACAAAGAAATAGATTATAAACAGAGTCTGGAACGAACGATCATCCTTGCCTGGCACGACAACAACATGGCGGCGCTAACCCCTTTATTTAAGTAGATCAAGAACTCGAGAGACATCTATAGATTCTATATTTTTTATATCGAAAGTAAAAAGTACCGAATTCTAATACTTCTTACGAGAGGTTATCGATAGGCTAGTTGTTCGAATACCACATGTAATGTTTGTGCTCAAGACAGAACACACGTTCTTTCATCAAGCATGGTTTTCTAAGAAATAAAAAAAATCATTTCAAGGCGTTGTCTACGAGCTTAAAAAACAGTTAAATACAATACTCAAAGAAAGGAAAAAAAGAGAACATCTAAATAAAGTTGCGATTTAGTGATAGAAGTTTGTGTACAGATCACAGCTGTTTTTGGTTCGTCATTATCAGGCTCTCGTCTCGTCTCTTTTTCAACAACAGAGTCAAGCCAAAAGCAAAGCCGTAAATTACCATACTAAATCCTATATATCTGAACTAAACCTACAGGGAAAAAACGCAAAATAGACCCTTCTTTCAGCTGATATACTGCGTATTATCTAGGAAGGCACAGACATTTTAACATTCAGTCGACGAAATGTTGGAAAAAAGTCGAAAAATCGATAGGGAAGCTAAAAGAACTGGCGCACAATGCTGTATAACACGCAATATGGAAGACAAAGGACGAAGGATTCTAAATTCTCGTTTACCTTAAGTTAAATCCTAGTTCTTTCTGTCTTTGAAGCCCTCCCCCTACATGGGATAGGGGATGGGTAGTTTGAGGTACTAGTTTAGATGAATTTGTACCAACAAACATTTCAATACGATTTTGATCATTTATATTGGAAAGAACATCGATCTCTTCATCGCTCTCTCCTTCGCTATCCGCCATCTAAGTGGCTTCGAGTTTGTGTTCACTTGGTCAGGCTTCGCATCGCCTATCTCAGGGCCTTTGAGTCGAGACCCCTACAGGATGGAAGGGGAAACAGCAAGGGGGTTAAGGGAAGGTTTTCTGAGGGAAAAATGTAAAAAATATAGTCTAGGAGAGGAGGGCGGACTGTACAAAGACAAGGGTTAAAATAGAGAAGGAAGACAATGACTCGAGTCCCATTACCCTTGAAAAAAGCCAAAAAAATTGCCAAAAATAGATAAATAAAGACAAGACTTTCGTAAATTACCCTAGTCCAAGACAATACAAATTGAGAAAGAAGTCAAAATTCGTTAAGCTGTATTCGATAAAGTAAATTTTTTACAAAGCCATGTGGTTTTTACACATGTCGACACGAGAACGAACGAACATCTCTACAAGTAGGTTACGCCCAATTCGGTCTGTAACGACTTTTAATCGAGACAACCCACAAAAATCACAAAAATGGCGGCAAGAATGGTACTCCTTCTTGTCGTCGAAGAAACAAACGCTACAAAACTAAGACTTGAAAAAATGTTCTAACGAGTGACAATATAGATAACTTAACGACCTAAAATGATAAAGAAACACGAAAAAAAACTGTCTGTTGAGTGTCAGATAGCGAAATTGGCTGAAAAAAGCGAAAAATGTGTTGAAATGTTTAGAGTAAAGCGGAAAGAAGTTCACCTGACTGCCTCCATGTTGGATACACTGCTGTTCTCTTCGTGCTTGCTCTCTTTGTCTGCTGCACCCACAGGAATCATGGGACACACGCCTAATGCGCATGCACTACATCCCATTCACGTGACTTACGACCAATCAAAATCATTCTTCTTTATTATTTATTAAAAATTTACTTCAAATAAAATAACCTATTTTCTTTTCAACCTACCATAAAATAATAAAAATCATTTTCAGAGCATTTTTGAGGGATTCTTTAGAGGAATATGAGTAATTTTAGTCTGTGCAAGCGATACTAGCAATCATGGACGCATCTCCAACCGCGCATGCAATCTTCATATCCTCTGTATCAAAATCATTAGTTTATTTTTTATTTATCAAAGCTTTACTCCAAATATATTAACAAGCTTTCCTCTTAATTTTTGTCATAATATTTCTTAGCCCCTTTGAGGAATATTTAGATAGAGGAAGCCCATGAACCTTTGGGAGTACTTTTCCTGCCACGTCACCAGTTCCATGTAAGCAACTCAATGCGCAAGTCTATTACGTCATGGTCTAAAAATAACTCCCTTCCCGGTGATGCTGTTTTCTCCACGTATGAAGTGAAGCTTCGATCAAATGAAAGTATAGGCTTTACGACCAACATGGCCTTAGAAGTTTTGCGATCTGCAGTGAAATTAGACCATGTTTATGCCAAAGAAGACGAGGACATTTTGGATTTTGGAAGAGATGTGAATTTGTCCGAAGCAATCGATAGTTTAGTGAGTATTCTAGCTAAAACTCTTGTGTTTACGTGGAAGACTGTCGTCGTTTCGCTTGTCATCTGTCAAGAACACACTGTTATTCCACGTATAACTTTACTAGCATACAGTATTCTTATGTTTTTATTGATTCTTTGTTTATCATACGTTAATACATCGAATATTGAAGGTCGTTTGCACGAAAAATAATATTTTGAAAAATTAAGCGTTTATTTTTCAGTGAACATAGTTTGGAAATCTAAGTTAAGTAAGTTACTTATTAGCCAGCATATTTTAACGATATATGATACTATCGAGCTTCACAGACTAATCATTTGACATGTCAACCTAGTGAATCATTAAAATGGCTTTAGTTAATATTTTCCATGTGTGGGCTGCCTGTGGTTAGATTAAGTGAAATTTATTTAATAATTTAATAATATTTCATATATCTTCTCTCTTACAGGCAGAGCTAAGCGAAAATGACCTTCTAAGTTTATTTTTTCAAGACAACAGCACTAAACTCACAGATACTACTCTGTCATCGTTCGATGAGTTAAGTTTTTCACCACAGAGCGAAAGTACATCATCAGAATCATGCATGACTCCAAGCCCTGACACCATGGACTTGGAGAGCACCTCTTCACCTGAAGGGCTACTCAATACAGATGACTTTGCTCTTGATGTTGATCTTGGTGAGTGTGTTTTAAGACAGCTGTTTCAGAAGATCAACAGTAAAACTCGTACATATAATACATTATCTTGCATATAACAGCAATGGCATGGTTTACATCATTTAAGTATCACAGTTAGTGAAACAAAAGTTTGTTATGTGTAGAAGTTAGTAGTATTGTGAGTTAAATCCCTTGTTGGATCAACATCAAGGTTCACTTTATATCTAAATATCTAAGGAGAAGGAGCTACCTTTGTCATTATAACTTCAAATGGTTAGACCTTCACATTAAACCTTTAGAGGCCAGCTTAGCTTGTTAAGTTCAAATCATTAGGCCATAAATCAAGCAACAGATTTAGTCTGTTCAAGGCATACGATGCCTTGCCAAGTTCTATGGTTTTAGATGCTTGCTTAAGGGTGTTTCATACCTACTCAACTTCAACAATATTTCTCAGACAATTTATTAACGATGACATCAATATGTAGAATGGCTTTGTACATTAGACGAAGGAGTTGCTCCTGTGACCTCTGCCAATCAACCATTAACGACAGAAAAACACCAGCCATTGTCTACGACAGTTGATATGCAAGTACTCAATCAACCCAAAGTTACCTCAACCTCTGGTTTAACAGAAAATGACTTAATAGTCCATAAACCAACTTCATCTCGGAAATCTAGTCTTCCACTTGTTTTGTCAGGGGAAGAAAAAAGACTTCTTGAGATTGAAGGAGTTACGCTTCCTACAGATGTTGCCTTAACAAAGGTAATCTATCAGTCCTTTTAAGCAACAGATGTTTTGATTATATTTTCATTTGTGCATGAATTGTGAAGTCATTGATCTCTTTATATATTTACAGGCTGAAGAAAGAGTTTTGAAAAAAGTGAGAAGAAAAATCAAGAATAAGGTAAATCTATATTTTGATTCCATTAATTAATAGCGATTTTTAGGTGATTAGCATGCAAAGAAATGATGACCTTTGTGTTTACAGCAATCAGCACAAGAGAGTAGAAAGAAAAAGAAAGATTATGTAGATGGTCTTGAAAAAAGGTAAAATATAATAGAACATTCAGGATATTCTCAATGTGTTAGTAGAGGAATATTAATTATTAACTTTTCTTTACGAAGAAAAAACTTTGCTTTCAGTAATTGGTAGCACAAAGAACACAAGTTTATTAAGGCGCAAAAAATAGGCGCGCGTAAGGAGTGGGCCAAGGGAGACTACAGCACCCTTACTTTCTCCCTTTTCTAGTCTATTTTATTTTCCTATCGCCCCACTTTTTCCCATGCTACTCTCATATATTTTCCAATCTTAGCCCCCACTTTTTAGGGTGCTCAGAGGCCCCTGAAAACATTAAGCGCATGCATGCTTTATCATTTTGTAAAAATACTGAATTTATTGGTCTATGATTTTCATTATTAGGGTTCACATTTGCACACAACAGAACAGAAGCCTACAGCAGAAAGTTGACACATTAGAAAACCAAAACAAGTAAGTTTATGGCAGACATCAGTAGTTTAATTGACATGCAATTGAGTCAATTTGTATTTTATTGAACCAATCACCTCACTCGTGTGACTTTATAAACAAACAAATCTTGGAATGAAAAGAAAAAGTAACTTCTTTTTTCTCCAGGACCATTTAAATTTTTTTTGAACCCTAAAACAATCTCTGGGCTGATCTGAGTTAGGGCATGGCTCACAGACTGAATTTGTTATTTATGTATTGTATTTCCTTAGGTCATTGTTGGAACAGCTAAAACAACTGCAAGCAATTGTAGCCTCCACGCATCCAAGCAAAACACAGGCTGGAACATGTCTTATGGTAGGCTGCCCATAAAGACAGCTAGACAAATTATCCTCTGTCATGTCACAGTCTGTTTTTCTTCTTAAATAGGAAGTCATATCTGTTATAGTTTATCCTATTTACCTATTTTGGTATTTATTGGATTAAAGATATTATTCTTATCTTACTAACTTTCCATATGTAATCCTTTTTTCTCCAGGTGCTGATCCTAGCCTTTGGATTAGTCTTGTTCCCAATTAATGGCATCAGTGACAATCAAAAGTCCACTGTGACGTCGTATGTAACATCTAGTGGTGAGTGCAGTAATTTTGAAAGAAGATCAAACTCATTAAACTCTTAAGAAATTTTGAAAATTATTTTTTAATGCATTATTTTTAAAGTTCATTCATACTATGAATAAAATTATCAAATACCTTGTGTCTTAACCCCTGGTGATAAACATTTGGTAGTAATGACTATACCAAAGCCTTTACGAGTATTTTGATGGTTTCATTTTGACAGTTTATATTTACCACTACTTGCCACGTTGTATGAGCTCATGTTTCGTAACATTGCCTTCACTAACAACATATTTAATTTACAAAACCTTATGAAAATAAATTTTAAATTCAATGTCCTTGGCATTTTCTAGTTCGATCTCGCACACTTCTACAAGTGAAAGATGACTATCTGCATGAAGAACAAGTGAACACACCAAAGATAAACCCCAATGGTTCAGAGTTATTAATGCCTGCAGCAATAGAACTTGACTGGGAAGGTGATTCAAGAGAATTATTAACAGATTTCACTACAGATGTGAACAAAGACAAAGACAGTGACAGCACACATCACATGGAGAAAAACACCATGAGAACAGAGAAAAGATAATGTATTATTATTATTATCAATATATTGTAAATATAAACCAGAGAATGTAACTCAAGAGAGGTAATGAAATACTTGCATGTGTCATGTGATGAACCCTACAATATTCTAATTTTAGTCCATCAAGAGAGTGGACAAAATATTAACATAATATATTCCTAACACATTTTTACAAAGTAATGCAGGGTACTTGTTTTAAGCCATCCATTTAGATGTCACTTAATAATGCCTCATAATGCATACCTTAGTAAAAATGATGTCATTCACAAGGAAACCATGTAATGAAATCTAAAAAGCATCAAAGGAACAGAGGTTTTCTACCATCACGTGACGGCAGCCATGTCAGATGGCAGGAACAATACAATTGTTTTACATGAGAAAGAATTCCATTCCCGAGAGCATCTAACCACAGGCAGTTCATGCTGGATTATGGTGCCGTCAAGTGATGGTGCAAAACCTCTATTGTCACTACTATGTCATAGCAATTCCAGTGGGGACAAGTGAGGCAGGGTGTCACATGATTTGAGGGTAAATCACCCTGAGTTATACTCTTTTTATAGAAATAGCAACCGCTATCTGATAGCAGTTGATTGGTTATTTTTTTTACACTTATTATTTCTGTTCAACTAAAAATACACAGTCAATAAGCTTCATGCATCGATTTAATAATCACTTAAAACTCTGATTTTTCTTGTAAATACTCTTTTTATTATATTTTTTTGTATAAATAAATTACAATTGGGTGCTAGTCTATTAATTTGATTGTCATTTTGTAAATAAATATTACAAAAAAACGAAAAGCAGTAATAAAGATTAATCAATATACATCTCGCAGTCTGTTAATTTTTTTTTGCATAAGGGGCTACGAATTTTGAAATAAACTAAAATATATCTTTTCAACAATTTACTAGTAGCTTCTATGCTTTAAAAGGTATGGGTTTTTAGTTCTTTTGCAGAAGCGCTTTATTTAAAGTTGTGCTTTTGCCATCCATTTTGATAATGTGCTAGCAAACTAGCCTGGGAAAACAGATGTCCTTTCACTCACCAACTGCATCTGCCTACAGGGACATCTGTGTTCTCAGTTTGCAGGTACTGTATAATTGATATTGTCCTCTCCTGTCCTGTCGACAATTTATATATATATATAAATTTCAGCTCATACTGTTTGTGGATATCAAACTCAGTCTACTGTTGTTAAGTTCATCTCCTATAACTCGCAGAGCACAACCAATTTCTTTTGACACCCTTCCATTTCCTTGATCACTGGTCTGTCTTTGACTCCCACTTCTGTGGCGCTCAATTTGAGCTCTGTCCTCCCTTGAAGATCTTCTGTGAAAGGAGAGTCTTCTTCCTACTCTGCTTGTGCTCCTTTGCAGGAAACCCATTAAGCCTGTAGAAAATGAAATTGGTGAGTCACGCGAAATGCATTCTTGCGTGACTGCATTGTGTTACGTGTGAGTCATCTATCGTGACAAGTGAGTCATGAATCGTGGCACAAGAAAAAAGAAACGCTAAAAAATCTAGAATACAATTTCATGTAAGACAAATCAAAATACAAATTAAATTATCGAATTAAGAAAAGTAAGTTGTTCAAAAAAAGTGTAAAAAGCTGGAAAAGATGAATATGAATGTACCTGAGAATTTCGTCGTGAAGGTCTTTGTAACGTGTAACGAAAACTTTAATTTTGCCTTGGAATAAATGAAATAACGAAACCAAAACCAACTCTTTATATACTCCTTTCCATACAGGAAAACTACCATTACCTCATCCATACGTACACTCTTGTGACGTTCAACATATTCCAACAGCCAATCAAAAAACAGCAATTATTGAAACAAAACGTCTCATCGCGTAATTTTTTTAGGGATTTCCCTTTGGTATCCGGCACATAGCCTTATATGGAATCTACCTGGAAGTCAATAACTTCCTCATTCAATTTTCTTAGAAAAAACCCAGTTCCTATTTTCTGAAGATGTGAAGGGAACTAAGAATAATCTATGACAACTTTCGAACCTAAAAACGTTTTTGTTTTGGATGGAGTTTCGCGGTAACGTTAGCTAATAATTACCTTCAAACTTGTTTATTTTTTGTTAAGCGCCTATAAATTAATTTTCGCGGTTGCAGTAATTTTTTGTGGGTTATCTAGAAAAATATTATCAAAAGGGACTTGAATAAAATAGGCTTCTAATGAACAGCGACAAAATGGAGGAAAAATCACCTTGAAGGGGCCTCAAGTATACAAGCCAATCAGAGCTTAGAAAACAAGCGAAACCGTGTGTTACATGTATCTTTAAGGACTCTTAAAGCAACTGATATTACGTAGAAAAGAAACGTCTTATAAAAGCCTCTGCTGTCGTGAATTCAAACATCAAAACCACAACAAAACGTTTTAGGGAAGACCATAGAAACAGGATATCGAATTTTTTTAAAAGAATTAAAGACGCAAAATATTAGGGTTAGGGTAAGTGCACATGACTTCCTCTTGTTTACGAGCGTCTAAGTCACGCGACTGGCTCTGAACAAAGACCATCACTACGTAAAAGTCACATTCGCCACCAACTCTGGTGATCAAGTCGTCATGCAGCAACATGCAAGAACCTAGAAGCGTTATTTTTACTTGCTGAAAAACGAAACATTTGGATTGGATTTTGGTGAGTAATGGTAGATCGAACACTATTTTTACAACTAGAATACGTTATTTGACTATCTTGAATAAAACCACCAAGGTCAAACAAGTACTCATTAGAATTAATAGTTATTATTGTTTGTAAGTGATTTTCGATAGATGCACTGATTTAGACAATTTAGACGGCGTGATTTCGTAGGGGAAAATATTTTTTAGAAATACTGTACTCAGTGGATAATATTTCTGTTTTTTTTAAAGAGCAGTAATAATGAAAGTGAACAAGTGATTTCATGAAATAAGTAATTACGACAGAGAATTCCAAGAACTTTGTTGAATTATTTCCGTGTCAATCAATTATTTGAATTTTTATCCCAAGTGTTTCTTAATATATTCTACTTAAACTGCTTTCCCTTTCGCTTGCGGACCTGACCACAGAATAGCAGGTATTAACCCGCTGTACGGATATGACTAATGATGGAATGGGAATCATCTACTTCCTGTGCATATACTGCGTGATTAGTCGAGCACAACATAGTCTTCCCGGTCATTAGTATCAAAAATTAGTGGAAAAAAAAAAAACGAGCAAGCTTACTGTCCGCAGTTTTTAGGGATAATACTGACTTACGAAGTTCTGAACTCAGTAGTTTTATCATAAGTTCGGTATCACACGTCGCACACTCACCGCAGTTGGTCGTTGGACATATGTATGTTGTTTTTCAATTTACTATTTATTATTTATATTTTTTGTGTTTTTTTTTTGAAACCGTTAACAGCTGTTGTTCTCTTTTCTGCTGTGCGTTTTAACCCTTTTTTTCCTGCCCTTCTTTGTTTCTTTTCTTTAGTCAGTTTCCTCTTTCTCTCCGGAGAGCAGATCACTGAGAGGTTCGGTATACCCCCAGGAGAAGCCATAACTTAATCTTCAAATCTTCCCCGTCAGCTTAGCAATTGGCACTTGGCACATCTTGCAATTCGTGTGCGCGTGTGTTAGACATATAGTCACGGGCACCTGTTGATGGGTACTCTTGTTAACTGAGCACATCCACCTTCCGCTTTCACTCGATGTCTGTTTGGCAATATGCTTATTCCTGATGATATATTCCATGAATATAGTGTCGAAATAACAATATTTTTTCTAAAGTGGGGGGGTTATCCCTCAAACCATCTATCCCTTGACACAGAACCATTATTATTTCAATAAAACACGAATATTGTATTGGTTGAACGTGATTGGATGACATTGTACTCATGACATATAGAGGATGAAGCGTGATCAGTAACCTTGCATGATTGTGAGTAGTATATATCTTTTCTTAGCGTGTTCTCTCGTCTAAAACGCACCAAGTAGACCTCATGTGCTCCTTTGACAAGCAAAAAGTGAAAAATTAAATCAACTGAACGACAGCAGTAACGAGTTCTTGTGATACTAGGGTTAGGTTAGGTTGATGGGTATGACGTGCAGAAGTGGGTGACGATGCATGACGTCAATCCATTTCACCATGGTGATTGTTTTTCTTTTATTTAAAGAAACACGTATTGTTTAAGCATGAAGACGTCCACCACAACCTCGACATCATTATTCCTGGTAAGGTATTGCATAGTTCTTGTGCTCATGGGCATTCGTTCCAATTTGATTAGTTGGAAGTAAGTGCCACTTTTCTCATGTAACATTATCAACCGCAATAGAATGTGCAACGCCATCCCAGAATTCAATAGGATTACATCAACGAGAACGTCACGTGACAACATCCCAGGATGCATAGGATTACAGAAACAAAGTCACGCGACAATTTTAGAGTGCAATGGAAACTTTCGCGTGCGGCACTATTCAACTTGCGCAATATTTACATTTCCCCCATTCAAGCAATTTTGTACATGTTTTCAAGTCACGTTAATAAAAAATGTTAAGAATTAATCTAATTCTAGTGGGCATAATGGGAAGCTCTATGGGAAAGCCGGTGGCGTGCGCTGCTAATGCGCCGCCTCTCACCAATGCGGCCCGAGTTCGAGTCCTGCCGATCTCGATGTCGTATGTGAGTAGAGTTGTTTGTTGGTTCTCTCCTGTGCTTCGAGGGTTTTTCTCCGGGTTCTCCGGTTTTCTTCCCTCCTCAAAAATCAACTTCTAAATTCTAATTCGATCTCCGGGCTTTCACTTAGTTTGGAGCCTAGCTCTGTCGTGATTGTCCCACGCTGTGATGCGACAGCGAAAAGCTTCGTAGATTTTTGTAGATTATGAGCTCATTTCATGCAGCCACGTATGGTTAGGTAAACGTGATATTAGCTCAACGAAAGAGCTTGATGTTTTAAACTAAAAGAATCTTCAAGAACTCGTTGAGTTATGACGTCAGTCGGGTAACGAAGGTGGACACCTATACCTGCAGAATTTGCACAACTAACCAATCATAGCGCAGACTATAAATATCAACCAATCATATTGCAAAGACAGCAGGTGGAAAAGCAGGTAAACAGGGGATTCTCAAGCAAGAAATATCATCTAGTATAATACAGCTAAATTTCTGATAATTACGAGCACTACCGAGCTCAAGGAATTTCCGCTCATATTTTCCCCGGTGAGATTTAATTTTGTACTTAAAGTCATGGATTCTTCGCAGGCGAAGTCAATGTCGGATCGAGAACCTCAGAGCGAAGATGCAAGACGAATAAGCCAGCAGGCACATCTTCTTGCACGAGATATCGTGTGTTATAGAACAGGACGAGGTAGGATATCCACCAGCATTACAGCACGGAACATGAGACGGTTGAGTGACGAGTTAGAAGATTGCCATCAGGCTCTTCTGAGTAATATGTGCAACGCACTGAACATGACGGCGGATTCGGCTCACGAAAAGTTCGTACAGGTTGCAGACGAGGTGTTCAGGGATGGAGTCAACTGGGGAAGGATTGTCGCTCTCTTTACATTTGGAGGAAAACTTGCGCAGTTCTGCTTGAGAAATGGCATGCAGGATAGTGTGGAGGATATTGAACAGTGGGTAGGAGATTATGTCGCGGGATTATCAAGCTGGATACAGAAACAAGGTGGATGGGTAAGTGAGCTAGTCAGTGCAGAATAATCTACAATCTCACATTTTTAGGAATTATTTTATAATTCAATGCAGAAGCAAAGTATCTTTTTACAAAACAAAGAAAAATAAATTCCGCTTTATTTTTCCATAATTACAAATGCAAAGACGCTCGTCTTGTCGTAAAACCTATCGCCGCAAACGAAATCATGTTGTATCTTGTTAAAGCCAATTGTTCCATTCTAAACATTGATTTTGCGCGTTTAGTTGAGTTTGCAAAGTACTCGAGTATTGCTATATCGGAGATATTTCTTAAATGCGTTAAAATTTAATGCGTCATAGATACAAAATTGGCCTTGTGAATATGCATCTTCTGGCTTATGGCTTAGTCAAAGGAATCAACTCATTAGATTGCGAGAAAGTCCCACACAGCACGGGCATAATTGGCTTGATTACAGCTACTTATAACGCTACATCGCCACAGCATTCAAGTATAACTACAAACTTCACCCAAGCGTGCCTCTATGTAGGAATAAATGCACACATTCGAATGTTTTTATCAGGTTGCGATTATTCCCACGGTTCTATAATAAAACTCCTATATTTATGCTGTTCGGATATCCTATATTAATTAATTTGTGTCTTTTTTTGCGGGCGCGTTTCTATGGTAACCTAGAGGCAGAAAAGAATCTGCTCGAATGACAGTTTTTATCGATTATTTAATTGCGTTTTCTTCAAAAATCGTAATGTTTTGTATTCTGTGCACATACAGACTGTACCCATGTGTATAGCTCATTTACTATTGGTTTTTTAATTGAATGCTAAAAAAGCGTCGAGCCTAGCTAAATTTGCTATTCAACATTCTGAATGAGGAGTCTCCAAAAATAAACTTTGTTTTCATAAATAAAATATATCCAAACCTAAGCCTTTGTAAGCTCTAATCGTTTTAAGAGGACTAAAATGGTTCTCGACATTTAGCTTTTTGGTAAATAGATGTTAAAAATATTTTTCTTTTTTGCGCACTTCTTTTCGTGCGTAATTTCACGGGAAAAGCTATTTATGCGGTGGACATATGATACATAATTGAAAAACCTACAGATTTGATGGCATTGAAAATTTTTAGTAAGAGACAGGGTATCATGTTTAATGTAAATGATGAAAAAAATGCGCTCGAAGAC